TAGTCGAGGATTAATTAGCGGTCAATGGTCAAGCATCTAAAATGTGGCTTTAATAGTCTCTTCTCACTGCATCCTCAATGCAATTACATGTTTATTTGGAGCTGTCCGCTTCAGATCAGAGCAACCATGACATATTTCATTGTGGAAACATTTCTAAATACCCCATTGTATCTGTGCACCACACCAGTCCTCGTGACCCAGTCTCTGCTAATGGATCTCCATGAGAGGAGCTCATTCCATTCAGCAGCTCTCACCGCTTCCTGACACCCAGACGCGAAGAATCAAAGAGTCAGGTACATTTGTTGAAAACTTTTGAACTGCGGAGCAACAGGTTTCAAAAGCTTTACTGGAGCTAATAAGAAATAATAGAACAGAAGCCCAGTCGAGGCCTGGCAACGTCAGCCAAACCGTTTTTTTTTACTACTACCTCAGAAAACGGAGCCAAAATGAGCTTAAGTCTGATTCTGAATTTGGGAAATCTACTGCAAATGTGGACTGTGGTGTCAGTAGATACTCTGCAGGACAAACTCTGTTGAGATGTAAATCAAGAGAAGCTCTGGAGGGTGAATACATCGTTACCTTAGATGACTGTGAACTATAAAGGGGAGGCTGAGTGGATGGCAGTAGAACTGAAGAACAGTCCTGTGGTAAAGATGAGGAAACAGGATGTGTAAAACTCATCATGCCATCACAATATTATTAAAGCTCTTAACGAGCATCAAGCTCATGCGTTGCATGTTTTTACTACTTTTTTCCTGGCTCTGGTTGCACCATGGGAGCCCCACAACTTGCTTCATCCCAACCCCATTAAAGGCCTCCCAACTCTTTACACTGCTCCCCTTACTCGTATCATCCTGCCTTCACTCCCATCTCTATTCATAATTATTTTTAAATAATTCATGAATTTCCCCTAGGGGATAAATAAAGTATCTATCTATCCATCTAATCCTTTATTTCAGTATGTCTGACCTCAGGCGTCGTCTTCTGAAGCCCATCACGCTTTCTTACCTCCACATCTTATCACCCACACACCCACACACATGCACGTCCACCCCCAACCCCCCCTCCTGCTCAGCCCTGGGACAGCCTATCAGCGGCTACCAAGGAAACCTCTGGATGATGTCATGTGGTGTGGCTGCTGTTCCAAGACTGACATCAGTGGGGAGAGAGCTCCTCATTTTTTCCAGAGTTTGACCCAAAAGTTTTGGCTCCTCTACCTGAACCTCCTGCGCGAGCCTCCCCCGCGCCGCCTCCTCCTCCCTCTCTCACCCTCTCTCTCCTGAACATCTCGTTTTCTCGACATCGAAACTCTCCTCCAACTCTCTAAAATACCAAATTTATCTCATATATCTGTGACACAAACTACACTATGTAATCGCCCACTGGACGAGGATGCTTTCGCTCCGCTTCGGCTGAGACAATGGAGGCCCAGACAAGAACTGCTGTGTTTGCACGGCTCCACCTTGGCCGCCTCGATTCACCCGAGGTCCCCCTGCGGATTACCTCTGAATGAGGCCGAGTGGTTCATCTGTCCTGTCTGTGTTCCCCCAGACCAACCGCAGCCATTTATTTCACTGAACGCTACTCAGAACCGAGGGATGGGCATTAAATTATCTCTGGTTTTTCTTGGCACGCTCACTGGGAAACAACAGTGAAGGGGGGAAATCAGGGGACACATTCTGCAGATGGACTATGTCAAACTCTCTGCTACTTTCTGAAAAACACTGATTAAAACACACATATGCTCTAAACATCCCGAAACCCTCAGTCATGAGGCAAAACAACATTGCTAAAAGTCATTAGCTGGACTTTCCTTAAGATAATGACTCATAATGACTGACTTTTACAAGTGCGTTACAGTCATTATAAAAAAAAAAAAAAGTAATTACTATTTCATTTGCAGCTGATGAACAGTGATTACCAAGTTAAATACCTGTCTGCTTACATAATCACCACTCTAACTACATTCATAATCTTTGCTGGCACAAGCCACAGTACTCTTATGCAAGAAAAAAAAAAACATTATGGCACTTATAGAGGGTAGATGCTCTGTGGCCACAAAACCATGTCAGAAACCAAACCACAAACCACCTCAACATACAGTAAGTGCTACTCTTCTCCACACTGCTGTATGTAAAGAAAAGGCACAGGCAGAGGAAAAACAACATTCACTAGAAGATTATTTTGCCTCTTTTAACTCATGTCAACACTAACTATTTTCTTTTAAAGCAATTTCCTGAGAAGTTCAGAGATATTAAATCAGGGCTGTCAAAAAAAAAAAAAAAAAAAAACTCTCAAATTGATACTTCAAAACTGCTTTCGCTCTGTCTTATTATTCCTCCTTTTTACACGCTGCTTTTCTAAAGAGATTGACTGGAAATCGCAGGCTCTCGACTCAACTGAATTAATTGGCCTGCTGGTGAAATCAAATATGTTTTTTTTGTGTGTGTGTGTGTGTGTGTGTGTGTGTGTGTGTGTGTGTGTGTGTGTGTGTGTGTGTGTGTGTGTGTGTGTGTGTGTGTATGTGTGTTTTCATGCTCACCACCTCTTGGTGGTAACTGACTCTGGCAAAAGTCAACACAGGATCAGACTAAACTACAGAGGGGAGAAGGGAGTGAGGGGAGGGGAGGGGAGGGGAGGGGAGGAGAGAGAGGAGTGCAGGCTGAGCATAATTTGGAAACTATGTGGCATATTTTCCATTTTCTGCACGCACTGGAGCCTGTCCTGTCTCCCAACTGGCAGACACACAGCAGGAGGGCTTTAAACATCTCTCACAAAATATCCGTCTGTTCCCACGGTAACCATTGGACTGTTGCTGTGTGCTCCGATAACTAGGTAAGATTTAAATTGTCCCTGTATTACCTCGCTCTCATGATGAGCATTCTACGGGCAACAAGAAAATTAGAGCAGGGTTAGAACTGGAGGAATTTCCCAACATCCGTTAGGTGTAGGGGGAGGTAATAACTTTTACACATACACACAAAAACATCTGTATTTATGCCTCATTAAAGCCAAAAAATACGCTGGAAATATGAACAGAATCTGTGTAGTAGAAAACAGTGTTGTGCTCCTCTGCTTCACTCAACATCTAAACACTCTCAACATGAGGGCAAGAAGTTTTATATATCCCATCATGCATCCTGCTCCCCTATAGCTCGGCAGACCAACTTCAGGGATTGTAGGAGGGGGAAGTGATGTCATATTTCTCTCTTTTTGTCTGTTCTCACTGAGCAGCAGTGAGGTCAAAGGTCAGCTGGCTCAGCATCAGTCACATCAGTCAGCCTCTGTTACTAATTATTATTGAGGGCCTCAGCCTCACAGACTAATCCCCCTTTAAACAAGCACAACTCTGACGGGACAAAGACAACAGTATTCCTTGTGCCTTGTGCCTCTCTTTCTCTCTCTCTCTCTTTCTCTCTCTGTGTGTGTGTGTGTGTGTCCCTCACAGGGGTCATGTTTAAGAGCCACAAATACCCACACAATAGCTTGTTATAGGCACCATCCAAACTAATTCTGATTCTTCACACTGGGTAAAGACAAAAAGTATTTTATGTTATAATGTGATGCACATCAGGTACCTCCGGGTATTATAAATCCCAAAAGGCTTCCTGCCACCAGTCAGATTACCATTAATCTTTCATCTCCTGCAGCAAAGCTCTTTAAAAAGAGGAGAAAGGAAAAGGTAAAGCCCTCATTCTAATGATGAAAAGCTGTCACTGTTTTGTTAAAAAACCTCTAAACAAAAATACTGCAGCTGATTCAGACATGGAATCCAGACACCGACACCAAAGACAGACATACAACACATTGACTTTTAGGTTTTTAGCTGCTGAGTGGCCACAATGAGGCGAAAGTTTAAAAAACAAAAAAAACAGCAACAACTGATGCAGAGTTGAATAGCAAACAAATGCAGCACAGATTGGAAGCAGAACTGAATTCCAGGACGTGAGGTTCGTTTGAGTGGATGTGGAATATCTGGCACCTTTAAATTAAATTTGATTTGCAGCGTTGTGCGTGTCTGCACGAGCTAAATCCACACATCTATAGAGGATGTGGCTGCTACAATAATTCGTATTCTGTGCACCATGACATACAGAATGAGGGTTTGGTGATGACCATCATGTGCACCACAGCCACATGTGTCTGTACTGTAGTAAAAATGAAGAATCTCTTACACTTTTATGTTACTTGCTTTAAAAGGTCTCATCTTTTACACTTCTCCTGTGTTTTACTTGAAGTCGTGCTCCATAAGAAGATATATTTGTGGTTTTAAGCACCAAAAAAAACATCTCAATGTAGTTTTACATCTCTTCTCTCAGGCTTCTCTCTGGAGCTCTAGTAACGACCGGTCAGTGAGCTCTGAGCCTCTCTTCTGATTGGCTGACTGTTTTCTCAGAGATTGAATAAAAATACAGCAGATTTCAGGTCGATCAGAGAAATTAAATCCTGCAAGGTTAGATGTTGGTTGCAGGTGGACCGGGCTTGGGGCATGGCTGAGGGTGGTGACTGCTTTGTTGTGACATCACAAAGTTCAGGAAGTCCTAACGGCTCGTTTTAAGGCTCAGTTTCTGAATACAGGCTGTGTGCATTTCTCTGTGGACTGAGCGCTTTGATACTTTCACAGTATTGATATAGAACATAGACCTGATTTATAATCAAACAACACATGGAAATCTACCTTTATGCAATATGGGACCTTTAAATCAAAGTCATGTTGGCCTGGTATGCTGACTTGTTCAGTGCAGCCTTGAAAACAGTTTATAATGGGAGATGCAAAAATGCATCAGTTGTCAAAACTACAAATCAGTTCCCTCATCCTACTTATCAAGGTCACATTGAGTCACATGGACACAGCTGAGAGGAAGGCCAGTGAGAATCTGGCAAACAGGCCTCTCAGCGAGCACTGAGCCGTCACCTAAATGATCCAGTCATATAATATACACCAAAGACTAATACGAACATAACAAGACATCGATCAAGAGCTACAGTACAGTGCCTACCTCAAAGACTTCTTCATCAAGTATTCTAGTTCCAAACACTATAATTCCTTTGGTATCGACGATGGGGCTGGGGCTTCGGAGCAGCTTCTGGGTGGTCTTCTTTTTACAGTCCAGAATGAGGGTGATGGTCTGCTTGTGCACACTGATGGCCACTCGATGCCACCTAGAAAGGGAGGCGACGTTAATTCACACACTTACTGGGTTACACGCTGTCCACTTAACAAACTCCTAACAGTGTAGGGGCCCCTTTTTTTCTGTCTTTGGCTTCTCTACATCCCACTCTGCTCCTCCACTCATCTTACTCTAATTGTTGACATAAATAGGAAGACACTGTAATCCACGTTACGTGTAAGGGATTAAATATACAATATCATACAAGATAACATGTTGTAAACAAATCCGTTGCTTAAGCTACACCTGGCTCAGGTGCTGCTCTAGGAGGAGCAACACAGATCGCTTCGCCGAAGCCTAACACATCCACCTGGACTCTGATTAGAGCGGAGGATGCATAAACAAAAAACAGGAGTCTGATATTCCTTGGTGGATGTTCGTCGAGCCAGCGACTGGTGAACCTACTTTCCATCAGCTAGGTTGACTCCTCTGAAGAGGGGGTAGTCCTCTGGACTGGGTCTGCCTGTGTGGTCCTCGTACAGGAACACGGGAGAGCGTCCCACTTCCAGTCCGAGCTGCTGGATGCCCTGCTCGTTGTACACAGACAACAGGAAGGACTGGCTGCCCTTCTTGGGCTTCACCGTGGCCAAGATGGAAAAGTCCTCCGGGAACACATCACCTGGCAGGACGGAGGGTGGGTTGGACAGAGAGAGAGAACAGTTTTGGAGTTATAAGTAGCAGTAACCATTCATCATCATAAGAGGAATGAAATACTACTACAATGTTTGTTCTCAGGATGTTGTAATCGTATTATTATTTTAGGAGACAGACAGTGCTCGTCAGTGTCAAAAAAAGTTATTGTTACTTCTAATGGAAAGAATGTTAAAAAAACAGAAAAAGATCATTTAGATTGGAAGAACCTCGATGGCTTTGAGGAAACGATTTGCAAAGTGCCCAAAATGTAACAAGATAGGATTAATCTGAAATGGATAAAGGCCGGCGAGGGGAAAAAATAAACGTTAGAAGCAGAACTGCAAAGTTGGAGCGTTTCCAGCGCAGCACAGGATGAGAGGCATAATGACAAAAGCATGTGATCCAGAGAGACTCTGTCGAACTATCCTTCAAACCGCTCCTCTCCTCTCCCACAGCTGATCGCTCTAGCAGATGCTCAGACGCTCCAGCAGGAGGGTTGGAGAGGAGGCAATAAGGAGAAAGAATGAATCACACATATGTATGGAAATGGAAATACCAATAATAATTTGGCATTTAAAAGCACATAAATGGTGTAGTAACAGAAAAGACAAACAGAAAAAAAAAAGAAAAAAGTTATCCTCCATTTGCATGGTTCCACTGTGCAGCCTCAACTATTTCCTCCATTTTGCTTAAGTGTGGGGCACATCTGCCAGACAGACTCCTTTAGTGGGGTGGTCTCGGGACCCCAGAAAGAGGGCGGACTTTCCAGCCATCTGAGGAGACTGCTGCTTGCTAATGTAGAGGTCAGACTACACTTGAGGCGAGCGAAGCTTTCTGATCTTTTAGTTTTAGGGAATGAAAAAAAAACAAAAAAAACCAGAGGCAGCCTGACTATATTCAAACCGCTACCATTATGAGAAAAACCAGCTATCTGGATTATGTTAAACATTAGCAAAGAGACCGCTTGGATTCCAGTAGCAGTTCCTTACTGTTCAGTGTATGCACAGCAGAAATTTCCAGACGACCGGAAAAAGAGAGGCAGGGTTTGTGGCCGCGGCGGTTTTGTAGCACCTCGTGCAGCCATCAAACCCCCTTACTCTGCTATAGGAGACGGGCTGGAAAATGCGAAATTGGAGTGACTATGGTTAAGGTGGCCAATCAGAGGCTGCGGAGGAAGAAGACGCCTCAGAGGGAATGTGGTGTGGAAACCTGAGGTTAGGGGGAGATAGTGGAAAAACGAAGGGAAAGGAAAAGAAAAAGAAATTATCCATTCACTTTATTCCTTCTCCTTCTTACTCAGTCAGCATCTGGGTGTCTGTCTGCCTTCCTGCCCTGTCTTCCTGCATTCTCTATCATTCTTTCATTAATGCCAGGCACCGAATCACATCATGCGGAGAGCACATGCCTTGGCAGTGCGCTCCCTCAGGAATTTAGCTTGGCATCATATGAGAAACATTGCTTTAATTGACAGATGCGTCGACAGGACGGCGAAAAGGCAGGAGAGGCAGAACATGAGAAAGAGGGGAGACAGATGAGAAGGACAACCCTTCGAAAACCTTTCTTGTACGGAAGAGTTTGATGAGGAAGACAGATACATGATAACCTTGGCAGGGAGAATATGAAATGAAGTGTTACTGTAGGATGTTAAGAGAAAATGCCAGAGAAAAGAGAGCAGATGAGGCAGCGTTTGTCACTACGTCCGTCTGTCGCAGAGACAACGAGTCAGCGCTGGCTCAGGGCAGGCTGTTTGTGTGGAGGTCAAGGGTCAGGTGAGGGGCAAAAGGGTAGAAGAAAAGAGAGAGCGAGAGAGTGGAGGGGGGGAGCAAAAGGAGTAAGAATGGTTTATTTTCAAATTCAAAGTACTGTTTTTGAAATTGGAACTAAAAATTAAACTGTCTCTGAATGTTAAGTAGCGTTTACACAGCGAGGGTTCTCATTTTGTGGACTCGTGTTTACGTGTCTGTGCTCCCTGCCATCATCCACGAGGACTGAGACGCCCTCAGAGAATCTCCATCATAACGCTGAGAAGGGAGGAGGAGAGGGATGAAAGACGGAGGTTAACAGAAACTGAAAATTGAGGACGAGAGAGAGAGAGAGAGAGAGAGAGAGAGAGAGAGAGAGAGAGGGGGAAAAAGAATAAATGAGCACCCTTCCTCCTCACTCTCTCCTCGGGAGCTTATAACAAAGTGGAAAGGGGTGTGAGGAGGGGTGGGGGGTGGGGTGGGGGGGTCGTTCAGAAAAGCTCGGGTTTCTCTGGAATGTGTCTCTCAAACTGCTACTTCAGGCCACCAGATGAGAGATAACTCATTCCTCATTTAGTGTGTGTGTGTGTGTGTGTGTGTGTGTGTGTG